GGGGGGGGCGGGGAGAAGGAGAGCCGTCGGGACCCCCGCCAAAACGCTCGGAGCTCCACCGACACGGGCCGAAAAGCACAAGTTTCGTTTTGGCTCGGCGAAAGCCCAGTTTTGGGTTCTTTATTTGTTTGTTTGGGGTTTTTTTAACAACAAAACGCACCCCCGAAAGAGTTTTGGCCAAGACTCAAAACGCCTCTCGAAAGGGTCAGAACACAACCGAGGCGATGTTCGGCGATCCCAGCGCAAGCGAGCAGCAAAAATTCTGCTTTTCCATAACTACGCTCAGTAACAGAAGGACGTCTCACCAGATTAATGTATATTGCCCGTTTTAGCCCCCTCTTTATTAAAATCTGCTGCTAGAAATACCGCCCCCTTTCACTGAGGTGAGATGCCCGAGTGTCAATTTTTGCCCGTTCCCCATTTATGTTCATAGGTGCCATTGATCTAAGCAAAGAGATGACAGCCTCAGCCGTATTTTACCCGCACGCACGCTGCTTTGAAAAAGTTACTGCCCCAAAGTTGAAAAAAGTGAGTTTGGGAGAAAATTGCACAGGCGAACAGCGGAATAAAATAGAGGTTTACAAGGAAATACGGTGGGTTGCCAAAAATTCTACCACCAAGCAAAAGGATAACTTTCCTTGAAAGCCCATTCCTGGAGAAGCAAATTCAGCAACTAAGAAGAAAAAATTGCCATGTAGAACTAACATCAAGAGACAAAAGTAGATGGTAATCAACATTAATTAGAAAGTGTTGAGACTTCATAAGGGAAGCAAAAGCCCTGACGGGAAAATCCATGCCTGGAAGGGCTATGGGCAATAAAGGATTGTATACTTGGAAGAAGTATTATTAGAAGAGAAGGCAAAAAAGGTATAAACAATCAATAAATACTTCAGGTTCATATTTGGAACGAAAGGGAGGATGTGTTTGCCAGATTATTGACTCATAAAAGAGAGCTTAAGAAGCATCTCCTAAGAACACGCAAAAACCATCAGACCTGGAAAAATGGCACACAGGAATCCCAAAAGAGTAGGCAGGAGGGCAGACAGAATAACCAGCTCTCTGACACTACTTCAAGTAAATCTTGGCATAACAGGAAATCTTGGAAGGCTGAGTGTTCAGTTTCCTGATAAGATGCAGAAAAAAATAATTCCAGCGACCGGGTAGTTACAGGCCAGTTAGCCTAAGGTTAACCAACCCCAAGAAAAACAAGAGAGAAAAAAAATCCAATCTGTGGATAAAGTTTGTTTTTATGGGAAGTGGCCTGCCAAGCAAACATGATTCATGTTTTTGTGAGGAAGTTATCAGTGTGGTGGCCATAACAGGATTTTGAAAGGTGTGTTATTCAATGATAGATGACATTCTCATTGCACGTCTAACCTATTAAGGACCAGATAAGAAGAGCTTAGTGGAAACAGAATGGTTTTTAATAGAGCTCAATGCAAAAATACGGCTCCAGGTGACCGAAACTGCCGGCCACTCCGGAGCAGAACTGGGGAGCGTGTGGTTTACTCTGCACAGAGGGAATGATGTGGGGCTCAGCGTAGGAAGCGGTCATGCTATACTCCTAGGGAAAAGGGGCTGAAAGAGGATGCCATCCTCAGCTATCCTCAGATGTTTCAGAGGACTAAAAAATAGGAGTAGGGAAGCGATTTTCTCTCTGCGTGAAGCATCAGTGAGACAGATACTGGAAGGTGTCCAGTTTTGGTATCTGCATTTTAAAAAGGATATTGAAATATTAGAGAAGGTTAAGAAAGGAACCCTAAAAATAATTTGAAGTAATTCCTCTCCGGGGAGAGATTTCAGGTGCCCAATCTATTTAGCTTTTCAAGAAAAGAGGCGATGTAATTACATTGTGTAAGTACCATCACAGGGATATAACAGCAGGTACTAATAGGCTCTTTAAACTGGTGGTTAAAGGCATAACAAGAACTAAAGTTTAGACTAGACAATGCAACTTAGAGCAAAAGTAGCCGATTAAACAGTGATTATTCATTGGAGAAAACTGAGACTGTTCTGGGAAGTGAAAGACAATCTGCTTTTATATTCAAATTAAACAAACAAACCAACCTGCTGGAAAGCGTGCTTTACCTAAGTGCAAGATAGGAAATTCTTCACAATTCATTTATAATCTAGTGGTCGCTTCTCACCTTAAAAGCACTCCTGAATAAAACCAACAGAGTATTTGATTACTTTTGCTACTGAAAGCTGAACTATAATTAACTAGGTCAATGCTTTGACTTATAATCAGCCAGTTTGGTATGATAGTTGATGGTGGTTCTTCCCACATTACTTGTTTCCTTTCACAGGAACATCTAAAGTTCTCCCTTTGCCTGGCTCCCCACGAGCTCTGTTCTGGTGCCGGCACAAGAACATTGTACTTTCAATGAACACATAAACACGTCTCCTCTCAGGCCAGCAAGACGTTTGCCACCACCTTACCCCAGCCTATGCTCTCTCCTTCATAAAAACCAAACCCTGAGACTTTTGTCCCACTCCAGCCTCCACAGAAGCATACAAGGCACTCATCCAGCATGATCACAAATCACCTTGCCTGGACTACAATGAAAAGGGCAATCTCTACTTTTATATGCTATTGAAAAAACATTTTACAGTGCCTGTAGCATTGGGGTGAGGGGGTGTATCTCTGAATTCTGGATGTTACATATGACTTCAGTAATGTACTACAAACTCTCTTCCCCGTTTTCCAAGTTTCTGAAGTGAGAATAATTCCAGCTGAACTATACCTTGTAGAAAGTTACAAGACCATCATATTCAAACATGAGTGTGTGAAATGCGGTCAGTAAGTAAAAGAGAAGTGGCATGTGGGGAACTCCAGCTCCAGATTCTTGATATACAGAAACTCAGAAGCCGGATTTAGGTAACAGCTGATAATGAGCAAATGACACATTGAAATTCGCTACATGACTACCTCTAGTATGTGCCACAATACTTTGTTAGACCGCTCTTTTACAAGGTAAAATTAATTAGTTTATACCCTTTTTGGTTTAAAAGGTAACTTGTTCTGCTTAGATTTTGCTGCATTGTGTGTCTGCACCCAAAATTTGAAAAGATCTCAAAGGGAATGGCTAGAAATCGCTTCAGTTAAAGGTGAGGAATCTTCTCCAGGTTGCTAAGCCCCTCTGTTACGGAATTGCATGGTGTTTCGTAGACCTCTGTCTCACCCTGTTGGGATGATCATTGTCAAGAAGTAAAATGGCAAAAAGTTTAAAAGCCAGGTTTTTAAAGGCTAGGCTGCCTAAATTCTGCTGAAGTAGGGATTTACCCAGAATTTAGGAATCTTAATCCAGAAGAATACTGAAGATGGCATTGCAGGGTATTGAAAAAGCCTAAATTAGTTGTGCTGGCTCCCTTTACCGTTAACGGAAAGATCTTCCAGCAAGCAATTCAGAGCATGCAAACTTGATGCCTTATTGTATACAGGACCTAGACACCCCTAAAGGTCAGTGATCCCGTGTTGAGCTGGGCACGGGCAAAAGCTAACTTATAGAAAATATACACTACAGGGTAGGTCAGAAATCCCACCTCTCTCTCTCTACTCTCAGGAGGTTTCCGTCGGCAGCTCAGTTCCCTCTGCACTGAGTGTGATGAATCCCCACTGGTGCGACCCCAGCAGGTGCCGCCTGGGAGGGACTTGGGGTTAGAGAGAATTTCAATGCAGCCTGAAGGTTTCTTGATGCTGATGGACAGCAGAGAAAGTTGACTGAAATATGATGTCTCTGCAGGTGGCTCAGGAAAACGAGTTCTTTTGCCTTCCCTAGCTATGAGACTGAAATGGATTCTTGTTTACAGCTGGAGGAGAACAGAAGAGATGTTAACACCAGGAGACCACACAAAGGATAAAGCAATACCATCGCCTCACCCATTTGCTGCCAATACTGTGCTTTGAGTTAAAAAAGACAATGTTTGTTCATTTCGAGAGTTAATTGAGCAATACATCTTTTCTTGACCTGACATTGTTAATACTTATCCATCTACCTATTCATATGCTAATAGCTATATTGCCTGTCGCTTACTTTATTACAGAATCCTGCCTTAGATTGGAATACATCATTCTGCTCTAACATTGTTTGAATTACTATAGTTGCTACTGTGGTTCTGGTTTCATTTACTTAGGTCAATTTAATATTCTTGATAATGCTCTGATGCTCTAAAGAAATCTTCAGGGTAAAGTTCCAGAAAAAAACTGTGTGTCAGCCAAGATAAACTCCTCACGGGAGCTATAGGAAAGGTTCGATAGAATTTATAGGGAAAGTGACATTTTCATTTAAAAATTATGAAAAGAGCTGAAAGGAGCTTTATCTTGTTTGGTCCTTATTAAGTTTTCATAGTGAGAAGGTGCTCCCTGTGTCCCAGAGGCAAAAAATTGTCATGTCTTATCATGTTTGTTTAGTGTCTGCTGTTGTTATAGAGATTTTTTTTTTGTAAACTGCAAGAACCCAGGAGATTGCTGCAGATGAACATCTTTCTGCCTCTTCCTTCTTCTATTATAGCTTCTTAAAAATAAACAACATTTGAAAGAAACATGTCTCCTTTCTGCAATTTCTTTCTCTTCCGTAACAGCTCACTTGGCTCCCTTAAACTTTCAGCATTTTCTGCATTTCTTACTACTCGCATGTAGAGGCTTATTATGCCCTCAGTCAAAATAACTGTCTTTTCCTTTGCAACGTTAAACTATCAGAAGGTTGGTTTTCTCCTGTTGCTAGTTTATTTTCCTTGCTCTCCTGTAAAGGGAGTTGTTTAAACATCTTACTTGGAGAAAAAGTGAACTGACAAAGCGCAGCCCCAGCTCTGCAGGGTAGCCAACGTGTCAGCACTGGGCCACCATTTCCCACCATCCCAACCAGGATGGTTTCTCCTGCGGTACACCAGTAACTTCATTACAAGCCTTACTTACTTACTTAACCTTCCTTACTGCTCCTTTCCTACCTGTCTGCTTCTAATGCAGAGCATGTGTAACCAAATATATCAAAGGCCTACCAGGACCTAATAAGCTGATGTAATTAAGCTCACCATCTTCCATAGCCTACAGCGTAGGGGGCAGGGATGGAACCACATCCAGGTACCTCCATCTTCTTTCTGGAACGGTCAGCCAGACTGACTGAAGACAGCCTTTAGCTTAAGTGTGGGATAAGGCTCAAATCTGTATCTCTGCAGCTGTGCTAGCTGTTCTGGTGCTGACAGACACACAGAGTGAAGCGCAGTCCTGCTGAGGCAGAGTTTCTTAACGCACAAGAATTCAAGCTCCAAAGCAGTGCCGGTTCCTAGTGTTTTAATCATCTTCCAGGGGGAAATATTGTGAAGAACCTAAAAGAAGCTGTAATTTATAACAGAGAGTCTTTCCAAAAAAACAGACAAATTGGAAATGTATTAGACAAGACTGTGTAAAGAGTTGAACTTGCTGCAGAAGCTGCATAGAAATGTGTGATTAGAGATCATCTGTGCCTCATGCTGGAAGTTCATGTGATCTGGAATGAAGAGAGTCATGCTAAATGCTAGTGAGGTGGCTCATAACTTCTGTGGTATAACGATAAATCTTGCAAGTAGAGGTTGCCAGCTACATGCCATTCTCTAATGCCTGAAAGAAATAGAATTCAGTCTCTGTGCAGAAAAACACGGTCTATTGCAGACAGCATATATAAAATATTACTGCAGTTTTCAAATTAGTGGCAGAATCCTGCTTCACACTGTTTTGGTTGAAACATAGCAGTGAATGTGCTGCAGAAGAGGTAGTATTCACACAGACAAAGTTATTCCCTCAACAGGCATCCTGTGTCCTGTTCCTTAAGCAATCACCAGCGGAAAAGGGTGCAGAGCTACAAAACACAAGATTCACCTTGCCACGGCTACGACACAAGTTCTGAGTGGCATAGTCACAGAATGATAGAATGATTTGGGTTGGAAGGAACATTAAAGATCATCGAGTTCCAACCCCCCTACCATAGGCAGGGGCACCTCCCACTAGACCAGGTTGCCCAGGGCCCCATCCAGCCTGGCCTTGAACACCTCCAGGGATGGAGCTTCCGTAACTTCTCTGGGTAACCTGTTCCAGTGCCTCACCACCCTCAAAGTGAAAAATTTCTTCCTAAAATCTAATCTAGATTTACCTTCTTCCAGTTCAAAGCCATTCCCCCTCGTCCTATTGCTACATGCTCTTCTAAAAAGTCCTTCCCCAGCCTCCTGTAGGCCCCCTTTAGGTACTGGAAGGCCGCAATAAGGTCTCCTCGGAGCCTTCTCTTCTCCAGGCTGAAAAACCCCAACTCTCTCAGCCTGTCACACTGAAACATTTTCTAGTGGGAGGCTCAGCTTTTGAAAGGACACCATTGCTGAAATGAACCTATTAATTGCCAGCATAATAGGTGCGTGAGGGACGAGCTACATGTGCACCTCCTAGCTATGATTGTGCTTAAAAGTGACATTTCCTTTACAGTGTTACACTTATAAAGCTACCACAGTCAGATCGAAAGCTGAGTGTACACAGCGACACTGAGATGCTAATGTTTGTCAAGACTTCCACCAACAAGCCTCTGAATGTAA